TTTTGCAGAAGAAAAACAGAGCAGGAGGAAAGAACTTTACCAATAGCCACAGACTTTCTTAAAACCTACCTGAACAGCTGGAGAGTTATTACGCTTGGCATTGGGATGAAGGGGACAGTGACCAGCAGACATCAAGATTTCAATCCACTTCTTCATTCTCATTTTTGTTTATGCTTTCTGTTTCAAAACTTTAACTCTATTTTCTACAAAACTGTCAATTTTCCGAGACAAAGTGACAGAAGCTTTCTGGATAAGAGCAGAAAATAATGCAAGCTACATCCTTTACTGACCCTTATTCCACTACTAAAGGAACCTACTTCAGCACAGTATGCAAGCACAAACTTAAGTTTTTTTCTAAACAGGGATATAGGAATAAATTGTAGATACAGGAAGGGCCTTAGAAGGTAGTTATGGAGTAAATCCCTCCATAAACTCTGGACTACCATTTCAGTTGTCCATTCATCTGGATGTCTCCATCATCTGTTTGAGTACAAATCCCAAGTTTCTTTATTCTTCAGAGACACTGTGTGTGTGCCATGCATAAATATATGAATGTGAAGTACATAGCTAAAATAAGGAAACTAATTTGTATACCCTGCCAAGGGTATATATGAAACTTAACTGTGTAAAACAAAAATATTTGACAAAACATTAAAATGAGCAGAGAGTGTAATCCAGCTATCCAGCCAGACCTTCAGAATAAGGGTGCTTAATTACTTGATAGCAAGCAGGCTTCATTAACCCTGAGCTAGGAAATAGACTATTCAGTCAAGGCAAGAGTCATAGTTAGTGAAGAATCCAATAAACTTTTCATACTGAAAATTACGGCCTTTCAGAAGTGCAAGAATTCAGGCAAAAGGACACTTCTGAGAGCCGAGTGTTGGTTACTTTGGCTTCAGTTCAGTTCTACCAAAGCCTTCTTCAAAGATGTAAGTCTTTGGTGGACTCGGGGCTTGATGACTAGCACCATCAGGCCATCCAGAAATGCTTCTACAGTAAGAACACGGTAAAAGCCTTAGTTTCTTCTCTGATGTGATGAAGCCAGTGTTTCACTGGTGTTTCACTGACACCGCTAACCTCCCAGGGGCTGGCAGTCCTGCTGTATCACATTGTTTTAAACTTTGTGAGCCAAGAAGGGCAGTTAATTTCAGACGTACAAGCTGCACACTAAAGTATAAGAAGTAACTTCTGTTTTTAAAACTGTCGGTTAAATGTTTTAGAAAGCATTTCTAATTGCACAATCCTACCATAGCAGTTGCTGTTTTTTCAGCTGTTTATCTAAAAATAGGTCATGATATATGTCAATGAAATTGACATATAATCAAGAAATAATTATCCCTGTATGTGTTTTATCCTTTCTACCATAGTATTTTTTGTGTGTTGCTTTGATTTCAACAGAATCAAGGCCTCTGTGATCATGCTGTGGGCATTCACAGGGATATCTGTATGTGTCTCTGCTATCCCCCAAAAAGTCTGAAGTCATTATCTGACTGACCAAAGGCATCAGCATATTACAAGTTTATTGAACATCAGCTACCAAGCACTGAGAGGAAAACAGGACTGTGAAAGCAATCTCTATTAGATATGAAATCCTCATACAATAGCAATAATTTTAATAACATTACTGGTGGGAAAAAACTCCCCTTTGATTTCAGACTTTATCATCCAAAAAGTCTAGTAACAAAACATAAAACCAAAGGAAGGTAGATTTTACTGGTTCCATGCTTGCATAAATAATTGGTAAAGCGAATGCCAAATAACTTCCTTGCTTTTCTTTACTTTTCTGGGCTTCATCATCACTATTGTTCATCATAAAACAGAAATAGCCAGTGCTATGCAATGAAAAGGCATTTCGTATTAAACAAGTATCAAACAACTTCTGAGTCAGATAAGAAAAAAGGCTTTAGTGGAAGTTACAGTGACCACGTATATATATTCTATACCATGAACTGCTGTATACATTCCTTGCAGGATAGTATTTCCTTGCATATTCCATCCTGCATTTAAATTTTCACTGAAAACACTCTTACATTAACATGGTCCAGTTTTAGACTTTAGTGTGGGAATCAGTCTAAAAGAATATGCTAAGCTCTAAGAATAATGAATGTCCTACATCTGAAACTACATCTGAAACACCAATGCAAACTACTGTGGTGCACAAGATTTGAGTTTTTACTTTGGAGACTTACAAAAATTCCTAAAGAGCATCAGAGTTGGTCTCTTAGTGGATCTAACAATTTATACCACTAAGATGTTAAAAGCCCCTATAAATCTGTGGCCATAGGAATGATTTTTCTCATGCCAGTGTAAGTTCAAAAATCAGAAAATCAGATTGTTTTCTTCAGGTATCTAACAAAGAATCTTACTGCTTCAAAGTTATCTCAACCCCATTGGGATGATTTACAAAAATTATGAGATAACTAGACCAGTTTTCTTTTCCTCTCTGAGAACATCACGGGCATGCAAGCATGGCAAGTCAAACCCTGGGACACTGCCTGCATATAATTAATCAGTGTGACTTAAGCAGGGTCAACATCTGGCTGCTTTTAATTTATAATGCTTTATGGGAGTCAGAGGAATTGACAGCTGATTTTTTCATGTCAGATTTGCAAGCCTGCAACTAGCTAGCACCTCTAAATAACCCCTCCTTTTCCCATCCCAGTCGCCATTTATTGTAAGCAGAGATGGTAAGTATTTTTTGATTTAAAGATTTTCACTAAAAATCATTGGTTTGTCAAAAAAACAGCTTTATTCACTGAAATGAGTTAGTTTTGAGGAATTCCAAGTGGAGAGATGATGGAGGAAGATGACTTCCAGGGTGTGGACTAGTACTAACAAGCAAACCACCTCAAAGTCAAAGGATGTCTGACTTTCCCAGATTGGCTATCTCAAGCTGCCCTCCCACATATTAATGTGGATTCAAAACAACTGCTTGGGGGTTTTGCTTGGTTTGCTTCTGGCAGATTTTTCTTCTACAGGAAATTTCAAAATTTCTCCTTTTCCTTCTGGAATGGAAATTAGAAGCTTGGAGGATTGGGTGCAACAGAAATGTGCCAAACAGCTCAACTTTTTATAGTTTCAAGGTCAAACGCTTAGCATTTGGTTTACTTCAGATCATGCAGAACCGGGGAGTGCTCATCTTCTGCTAACTCTTCTGAAGATTTTCCTCTTTCTTGAGGGCAGTAAATGCTAACCTGCATCAATAAAAGCTGTCACTGCCCTAGAGAAACAAAGCCCCTCTCATCTCATATTCTCCCCAGTGCTGTCTGTCTAATTACATTGAAGTGACTTCAGCCAGGGGTGGTGTGTGAGGGCAAAGTACGCTCTATGTACTACTCAAAATCTTGTCTGTCAAGAAAACCTAAAGTCCTATACAGGTGCCTAAGTTTAAGCCTACAAGTACCATCATTATATTTCAGAGTTTCTGAGACTAGGGTTTGTGTTTAGGATGAAGCCAGCACTTAACCGTATATTAAAAATAGCTCAGTGATAGCAGTGCCTGATCTTGTGGTAATGATACACTCTTTGAAAAATGTGGGAAAATATGTTTAGAGGGGAGATATTTTAACAAGTCTGGGAGAAGATAAATCACAGCTATCGAACTATTAATTCCTGAAATCTTAATAAAATATTAACTGTTTAGGGTGGGGATGGGGTTAGCAAACAGCTGTGCTTTTCTATTACAGATTATTTGCACATGCTGTTATCAGGGCTATATTGTCATACGCAGGCATGACACCTTTAAGGGAAAAAAAAAGCTTACTGCTAAAATTGCAGAATTGTTAGTGAGAATTTAAAAAAATAAAGTCTAAAATAAATTGCAAGCCAATTAAAACCTGATAATAGAAGTTGTGAATGTGATGCGTATTCTACACTGAAATGACAAGTGCTTGGGAGAAACTTGAAAAAAAGTAAAACATCAGTCTTGCATTTCACACAAACAGGATGTTTCCACATGTTTCATACCACGTATATTCTTTTGGGTAAGTGCAGTTCAAAAGGAGTAAGAAGTACAAAGCAGCTACACCACCTAGTTTTATGTGTACTAAGAAGTTTCTTTTACTGTTCACAACAATTTCACTGTTATAAACGCAATGCCAGGTTCCTCTTTGTAAAACTGCAGCATGTCAGTTACAGACGCCCAGGAGAAATGAGGTCAGACTTTGACACTTGCATCTCTCAGGCTACACTAGAAGCCCACTGTAGCAGTTACAACCTCCTGGTTGTAAAAGATGAGTCAATAACAGAAGGACTCTTTCCAAAACATGACAGTAAATGGAGGTAAGAGGATCATCTCTCTCTCCATCTGTCAACACAGCAGAGAGCCAGCAGGCAGTAGTAATGCTGTCAGATCAGAGGCTGCGCTTCCACCCAAAGGCAGGTGCAAATATACGCCAACTGCCTCAACTGCCAGTCCAGTCTGAGCAGAGAAGAACACTGCTCTGACCTGACTACAGCTTGGAAATAACCACCACAACCATAATTTTCCATCACCCTCTTCTTGCCTTTATAAGCAGCACCTTTTTCTGGCCCTGGTCCTCAACCTTCTCCTATCTTCCTGCCCAGACGTTTTGCATTAGACAGAGATAGTACATCATTTCAGTCCCTCCATAATCTCATCACTGGTATTGCATCTGGACTAATAGCACCAGTGCCTGGCTTTGGCCTGTGTTCCTTGGCCACATCTGTTTCAGATTTAAAGGTAGATTATGAAGTCTATGGGACTCCACGGAAGGAAGACAAACTTATTCCTGCAAGGATGTGGCCTTACAGGCTTCCTGCACTGCAAACTGATCCTAATTTGACTCATAACAGGAAACCAAGAACCAAGGCTCCCTTTTTACAAAGGGAGAAATATAGTGATACTTAAATCATGTAAATATAATTAGTACTTCAGATTTGAAAGTCCTGCTATCTATTCATAACATCATGCACTTCAATAACATTGATAACAACTGACCAGAAGACTCTTGAAAGGAAATAGGTTGGTCTTTCCTTACCCTAATTTTTGACTCAGTTGTCTTTCTCTGTTGACAAGCACCGTTTCCTCCTTCATTTCTTGTTCTGTTGCTATGTTATCTCCAAGTCTCTGTTGAGAATTTGCTTCCCCTGCACCATCATCACCAACCACCTCCAACACATGTGTTCCTGCAATGCTCGAAATCTCATCCTTGGTGGTGAGGCTGCCTGAAGGAGAATAGCCATCATCTTCAAAAGATTTCTGAAGGGGAGTTTCTACTTGAAATTCTGCCTGAGTGTCAAGAATTGATTCCTGTGCTACAACAGCTGCCAGTTCTTCGCCAGAATGTTCAGACTCTGATTTTGCCATCTCTGACCCAGCAGAAATTTCTTCAGGTGATAGGTCACTGACTTCATTTTGGCCCAATATAATCCAGCCCTCATCTTGCCCATGGCTTTCCTGTGATCTCCCTTCACCACCCAGTTTTTGAGGCACAACACAAGAACTTTTCTCTTCTAAGTGAATAGAGTCCCATTCAGTCCCAGCAACAGAGTGATCTTCCCCTTCATCTTTAATGGAGATTGGCTGAAAAGTATCCAAGGAGCCTGGTGAAAAGTCTTCATGAGATTCAGTTTGTTCAGCTACATTACCTTCTTGAAATGCAAAATCACTTTCATTTCTTTCAAGGGTATCCTTGGTTGAAGGCATATTTTCTTCCTCAGTAGCAAGGATGTAATCCATCTCCAGTGAAGTTGGATCTTGGTGCACCTGCATCCTCACGTCTTCCTTACCCTCTGCATTTCTCAGCTTATTCTCCCTACAAAATAGGGAGTCTGTGCCAGCTTCTAAAAAAACATGCAAGAAGAAACTCCTTTTAGTTTTTGAATTACTGTTTCAGTCACCATGATTTCTTTAAATCAGTACAGCGAGACAAAACTCCTCTCAGTTTGCTTTGCTCTGTTAATGTGTACGTGAATTTTATAGCATCATCATCATCATCATTATTGTTAAAGATTATACATTAACACTGTAATCATTCCTAAGGGAGAAATGATTCAGTGTTCCATATGCTGGGCCCTGTACAAACAGCAGAAATAATGTTCCTACTTCAATGCTTAAAAGCTTTAGATATGTCTAGAAGGGTGGTGCTAGAGTTTTGTATGTCAGGGACACACAAAAACTTCAAATTTCCCCCACAGCCCCATCATTCAGCAGTAATACTCCAGACATTTCCTTCTTTCTTTGTCCTATGAACTTGATCTGAAAACATGTTTTCTTACCATCAGGTGATCCTTTATCTCCACCTGGCGGTGAGTCGAGATCAGTTGTTTCTGCTTCAGATTTTCCTATGGAAATCCCAGAAGCTCCTAGAGTTACTTCAGACTCGGACAGTGAAGGTATTGATGTGTGATTTTCCCAAAGGCACTCTGTGGATGTGTCAGACATCCGATCTTTAATGCTGCCGTCTTTGGTCACTGGGATGCCTTCTGTACCTCCTGAAGGAGCTGGCAGTGGTAAAGATTTTTCCAGAGAAGCACTGTCACAAAATGGCTGCTGTAACAAGAGTTCATCCTTTGCACACTCTCTGCTGCCAAAGAGTTCAGCATCAGAAGATACATCAGATGGTGGGGTACACACCACTGGTGATTGATCAGCGAGCATTTCCTTAAGCACAGGAACATCCTTCTCAATTGCATCTTCAGATTCTTTTGCTGTGTCATCAACCAGTGGATGACTTGAATCAGATTCATGACCTTCATCACCACCAGGCAGAAAGGATTTAGGAGAGAATATCTGCTTATCCTTTGATTCCTCTTCTGCTACTTCACTGCCTACTACTGTCATTGTGTCCATCCCACCACACGTGCTTGCCAGGACATTAGTCACTGATGTGCTTCTGATGCTGTTCTCTACCCCTGTCTCAGATTCAGCATCAGAAGATACATTGGATGGTGGAGAACACACCACTGGTGATTGATCAGCGAGCATTTCCTTAAGCACAGGAACATCCTTCTCAATTGCATCTTCAGATTCTTTTGCTGTGTCATCAACCAGTGGATGACTTGAATCAGATTCATGACCTTCGTTACCACCAGGCAGAAAGGATTTAGGAGAGAATATCTGCTTATCCTTTGATTCCTCTTCTGCTACTTCACTGCCTACTACTGTCATTGTGTTCATCCCACCATATGTGCTTGCTGGGACATTAGTCATTGATGTGCTCCTGATGCTGTTCTCTACCCCTGTCTCAGATTCAGCATCAGAAGATACATTGGATGGTGGAGAACACACCACTGGTGATTGATCAGCGAGCATTTCCTTAAGCACAGGAACATCCTTCTCAATTGCATCTTCAGATTCTTTTGCTGTGTCATCAACCAGTGGATGACTTGAATCAGATTCATGACCTTCATCACCACCAGGCAGAAAGGATTTAGGAGAGAATATCTGCTTATCCTTTGATTCCTCTTCTGCTACTTCACTGCCTGCTACTGTCATTGTGTTCATCCCACCACATGTGCTTGCCGGGACATTAGTCACTGATGTGCTCCTGATGCTGTTCTCTACCCCTGTCTCAGATTCACCTACAAATTCTTCTGACATGTTTAGCTCATCACCAGTTATTGCTGTACGGTCAATATCAGAATATTTTCCAACTTCAGCCAAGGCATTAATTTCTTTTAAGCTTTGCTCTGCTCTATCAGATAGAGTGAAATCCAAGGGAACCAATTGCATTTGGGAGGTCGCTATTTCAGTTGTATCAGCTGGTGTTCCTGGATGGCTCTCAGGGGTAAGACTCTCATGGAATGTGTGTTTTAGATCTAAGGATGTCACTTCTAAAATTTCATTGGTAATTTCAGCTGACTCAATTGGGTCAGTAACAAGCTTATTTTCTAGACTATACTCTTCTAAAGCTGCAAATTCAGGAGGGTTCTGAGTATTAGAAGAGATTAGCTGATACGATTCATCAGAGCTTCCCTGTTCATAGCCCTGGGGGCTACCACTTTCAGACCGTGTCTCTACCTTCTGCAATGCTAACTGACACTTTGAATCAAAATCTGCCTCTCTACCCATATTTGACCATGCAGGAACTGGTTTATTATCTTTGTCTGCAGGTTCTACCCCAATCTGAGAAGATGGGATAGACGGATACCTAGTTTCATACTCCTGGCACACATCAGGACTGCTTGAGGCCTCTGAACTATTGTCTTGGTCACAGTGACTTAATATATCAGGATTTTCACCATCTGCTTTCAAAGTGACAATATGCTCAGCATTAGTCCACAGGTCAGGTTCCACAGAAAACAGCTGATTACTTTCTTGCGTGTTATCCTGTAAAATATCTGGGATATGTGCAGTTTGGGGAACTAATATACTCCAGCTTGGGCTTGACTTCTCTGTCATTTCAAAAGATAAGTCTTCTACAGTGAAAGCATCTGGCAGGGAGTTATGCACTTCTAGTTTTCCACAGGTGTCCCGCTGTTGTTCTTGAGGAATGAGACTTGCATTTCCCTCATTGTCTTGTGGTAGATCCAGTACAGTGATTTCTTGAACTGATGTGGTTGGCACACTTTGTTCCTCACCTGAAAAAGGATTCTGTGGAGTCAGTTGATTTCCCTCAGCTGTAGGAAACAATGGCTCTTTCAAGCCCCTTTCTTCTTTATCCACTATGAAAGGATCAAATTGTTTTAACTGTACAGTGTCTTGATTTATTTGACTATCAGAAATATCCACAGGATGTACTAGGCTTTCATTTTCTTTTTCATCACAGTACAAGGGGGGAAGCTGATTTCCATCATTACTTGCGTTAGTGAAACGTGTTTCTGAAAGTTCGTCATCTTGTGAAGGTGATCCCCTGGAGTCCTCCTTACTCTTTGTTAACTGGTTTGTTGCAGAGTGACTTGAAACGGAATACTGATCTTCCAATTGCTTTTCTTCACAAGGTTGTGAATTCCACCATTCTGAACTGTCATCTGGAAAATCAAATGTTCCTACTGTGGATTTTTGATCAGTTTTTAAATCTGCTTCCAATGGCGTATTCCACATATCTACAGCTTTTGAAGCTCTATCCCCAACAGTCGGTGTAATATCTTCATTCATTTGATAAAAATATGAGTCTTCTCTGCTACCTGTTTTTTCACTGGAAATACTCATCTGAGCGTTTTCCTGAAGTGTTTCCCAGTGACCTAAATGCTCAGAAGTCACATTATGCTCCACTGTAGTCAAGTCCTCCTGCAATACTTCCATAGCTTTAATTGTTTCAGAATTTTCATCGAAGATGCCTACCTGGACCTTCTCTCCCCCCTTAGATTTTGCATCTAAATCATCTTCATTTGCTTCAGAACTTGTCGCATTGGATTGAGCATAATCATCTCCAATTTCAGAGACTTTGTGCTGTTTGCTTTCATATGTGGAGTCTTCATGAATCACTTCTGGACATGCCTCTGAATTCTCTGAATCTTCATTTATGTCAGGACTTGACAAAGAAGATACAGTGTCATCATCTACATGGGCATTCCAAAAATCTAAGCTGCTAGGAACTTTGTTCTGTTCAGTGCTTGTTTCAAATCCTTCTTCACATTCATTCCCAAATTCATTCCTTTTACAAGTATCTTCAAGATTTTTATTATTTTTAATATCCCACATATCCCTACTGCTTTTGTGATCACTGGTAACTGGAAGGTCTCCCCACACATTCACAGATGCATCACTTAAATCAGGACTTGTTCCACTTGAGTGTGCATAATCACTCCACACATTATCTTCTTCCAAATAACTTTTGATCTGTATATCCTTTGAAAGGCTACTTGTGGTATTTGCCATTTCAAGGACTTCACTTGCCTCAGGACTTGTTCCAGGAGATGGCAAACCTTCACATGGCTGTGAATCCCAAGGAGACTGGGGAAGACTGTCCTTAAGCATTACACCTGGCTCGCCGCATAAATTATTAGCAGATTCTAAATTTTCAAAGCTTTCATTTCTCCCAGAACCTATTTCGTGGGAAAATGAACTTTCCACCGCAGACATTTCTGTAATGTCAGGAACACTGACATATCCAGAAGAAGAACTCTTCTTAAGCTCATCTATGAAAGACTTTTCATGAGTCCTGTTCATTTCTGAGCTACTTTTGACAGGTACTAACTCAGAATTACAAATGCCTGGATGGTTAGGAACCACTTCATGTAAGCCCTCTTTCACTTCTCCTAGCACTTCTTGTGGTTCATTCATCAAAGGAATTGATGTGGCTAGGTCACAGCCACTCTTTCCAGAGTCATTCCAAGTGCCTGAGCTTCCAGGCATTTTAGAAGAATTATTTTCAGAATTATCACTACTCTTATCAGAACTTTGAGAGATACTTTCCGCTTCCATCGTTGCATCTTCTATCACTGTAGTCTCCGTTTCAATTTTCTCAGAAAGCAGCTGTGACATTTCACTATAATTGTAATTTTGTGGTCTGGAGTCATCAAAAGATTCATAATTTCTGCCTTCCTCAGAAGCACTTGAAGAAGATTCTACATTACTCTGCGACAAGTCTTTCCTCTCTTCCTGACTAACTGGATTGCTTTGATTGGAAAATGACTCATTCTCTGTGACTAACGCTTCCAAACTAACACTACTGCTCATTTTTTCTGGAGAGCTGGGAACTTCAGTTGTTGACCTGTTTTCTTCTGAATCTGCATTGCATGAAGATTCACTTTCCTCTTGCACTGGTTTATTACAAATGTCACTAATAATTTGCTGCCCACTCATCTCATCTGTTCTCTTATCTTTTCCTTCCTGGGAGGTGACAATGGCATTGTCCCAGCTTTCCTCACAACCCTGCTCACTCTGTAAACTCCACGAGTTCAGCTGTGGCACTGAATCCTGACTATCCAGCTTTTCGTCAGCATCAGCAGTGGTTTTTGCTGCCTTCTTACTTTGTATCTCACTCCCCAAGTCAAGTACTTTCAGATCCAAACCATTCCCAGTATCTGAAGTTGGTGTAGATGTGTCTGTGTCTTCTACAGGAACCCTGCTGACTGTTTCTACATTTTCAGCTGCGGTCTCTCTATTATTTAATTCACTGCGTGGTGGTGATAAGTCATTCACTGTTTGGTTGTATACCGGTGTTACTCTTCTGGTTTCAGATACAGAAAAATTATTTTCGCTAGGGTGTATCTCAGTTGAAAAACATTGATCATCTATTTGTTCTGAATTAAGGAAAGGTTTAGCATAAGCAGAAAGACTAATGATCTCAGAATTTCTTTCTTGCAACTGAGTGACATTATTTAAGGGAGTGTTCCAGATATTTGTATTTCCACTGCTTGCACATGGCATGTTTCTAGGAGATACTGGTTCCTTATTTGCTTTCTCAAGTATACTTGGCTCAGCCAAATTTGGGCTTATCAATTTATCAATAACTGTTTCTTCATCCAAATCTTTGTCCTCTTTTTCTCTTTCGTCTTCCACATATGTAGGTGATATATATGAATCAGATGTTGAATAATTGGTGTCTGGTGGAGAAACAACTAAATCTTCGCCTATGTTTGATGAACTAAGATCTGAGTGCTTGTACAAGAAGGTATCCTCCCACGGCACTACTACTTCTGTTACTTTGTTCCTGATGTTTTTATCATATATATTCCAGGTGTCTATATTTTCAAATTGTGTTGGTCTATGTTTAGTGTCACCAAATACAGCCTTTTCCTCTGTTTGCTTGGAATTATTTTGCATATTGTTGAAAACAGAAATTGTATTTTTAGATTTCCCATAGTCTTCTACTGAATGTCTTTCTTTATCCCAGGCTTCTGGAGATACCTGGATAGGTGGATTTTCAGTCTCATTATCTGGTGTGATTTCTGAAGAATCTGATAAACTATTTTTTGATACAGCCCATTCCTCAGGAATATTCATGGATTTTTTTTCTCTATCCAGTTTGGGCATGTTCCATACATTTTCCGAGGATCTAGCAATATCTCCTGCATCGAACCTAGTCCAGGTGTCGTAAGAATCTCCAGCTAGCTGACTGTCTTTCCCTTCACCACTATACCATGCATCTGACATCACAGGCGTCGGCTGACTGACCTTCCATGGGTCAGTAAAGCTCTCTGGTTCTTGCTTTGTCTCCTTTAAAGAAGCAGTTTGCAGATGTGAATGTTCACTGTTTTTCTCTGGATTCTCATGGTTCCAATTATTTTGTTTAAACTGATTATCCCACAGACCTGCTCTCATGTATTCCATTTGCTTTGGCTGTTTTTGGAGGAATACAGAATCTGAGGCTCTTCTGTCAATATGTTCTCGTAGCGAGGGACTTTCTTTACAATCTTTCCACAAGACAGGGCTCTGAAATACAGATTCCTGCTCACTTGAACTCCATGGATCAGCATTTCTGGAGTCTAGGTCAAAGCCATCCCACCAGCTCCCATATCTAACACGAGACTGAGAATAATTTGTGTCATCTATTTCATTAATTTTTTTGACGACATCTTGTGGAAAAAATAAAGGCTGCCCATTATCTAATGGTGAAGTTTCTACAAGACTGTTCATAGGAGTTGGTGGAATTCTTGAATCAGCAGATTTCAACATTTCAGGTGAAGAAGAATCACCTTCACCTAAATCAACCAAACTTGAAGTTTTCTCACACATTTCTCCTGGATTCTCATCAAATTCAGCTAAATTGTCTTCCTCGTTTGTCGTCATAAGTAAGTCAGTTGAATAATTTGCTGTATCATTTTCTAGCAGGTTTGCTTCATCAAGTTCTTTCTGCACAGTGAGTTGTTGTCCTTCTGATGAATCACTATTAAGGAAATAGTCGTCTGCTGGGGAACAATCAACAGAACGAGAAGATGACTCAGATGGAGCTGTAACCACAGGTGCTAGATCAAAATTGAAAAGATCAAAGTTATCGCTGTTTTCTCTAGACTGAGGTTTTTGTTCTTCAGCTATTGCTCCTTCAGGAATAGGGCTGTAGGAATCAAAGCCAGGCAGAAGACTGTGGTGGGAAGCAGCACCTTCTGCAACAGGGCTATCATCACTAAGGAAAACAGAACTCTCCTTGGAAGATCGGCTGCTTCTAATGGTAGCCAATCCACTGTCTGGACTCACAAGGTCTACATTAACATCAACGTGGGCTTGCATAGATTCATTTAGCTCTTGAGGATTTTCTATAAAATTGGCAGAACTGGGCTGTGGTTCTACATCAGAACCATATAACTCCATAATACCAGAAGATCCTTGTGAAAGTGGAGCACTTCCAGCAACAGCTTCAGTAGAAGAGGTTCTACTGTTTGATACCATTTCTGATTGTCTTCTATTGATAACTTCCTTAAGTAGAAGAAAAATTTGATCACAGGTCACCAAAGAATTTTCTTGATGATAAATCAGAATTTGGTCACATCCGCACTCTAGAGGATCCAGCTCCAAACATGGATTCTGACATTCTTCTAATTCACAGCAGATCTGTTGAAAAACAGGATGTTTCAAAAGCAATTGCAATCATGAACATAAGGGCACATACTAACTACTTCACCCTGTAACACAGCCATACCTATTTTCTCCTATTAATCTATTCCTTGGCCATTTGGCTGTAACAGCCTTATTATGACCCATAAATTAATGAAGTATTTAAATCAAAGATCAATACAAAATACGTATTATATAATTGGTCAGAATATTTACTTGAAATTATACCATTGGACTTTCAAGTTCACTTTTCATTAGGAAAAGAAAATCCAAATAAATTTTTAGCTGTTGCCTTGAGAAATCTGAGTAAAATATGTAAGAGTACATGATAAAAGTATTTGTAGAATGGGATAATTAGATTGATAAAATAAATACATTCATATTGACCTTGAAAGCAATAGAGTTATTTAGCCACCTAAATGTCCCTAAAATCAGAAGTTTTTAAGACTGAGAAAAAGATTCAAAAAGTTGTCACTGAGATGATTTCTTCCATTTTGGGACAAATATAATTAAAAAAAAAATGGACAGTATGGCTTTGGGTAAACGAACATCCGAGCAATAATTTGGCTTAATTTCAGAGTTTAAATTCTTTAGCAATAACATACACATAGATGAGTCCTGGTCATTACCATTTACAATGTGTTTGCTCATCCATCACTGCCAAAGACACATTTGTGTAGATCACAATACAGAATCAAGCAAAAACTAGTAGGAAAAAAGATCATTCTGTTTTAGCTAAATTGAAAAATTTTGTCTCTTTCTGTACCTCTTTTAACCATACAATTTTTATATTAGGCTGGTCTGAAAAAAATAAATAAATACCACAGTCTTTCAATTTGCATCATAGAAATAATGCAGCTATTTCAAATAGCTATTCAGTTGCTACTTCTTGACCCCACTTAATTATTCAACACTTCGGTATATACTTCTTAAAAAAAACCCCAGAAAAACAAACATGTTTTATTCAGAAAAGACATTATTTGATTCTTATTCCAGGTACTTACTTGGTTGCCTAGCTCTAAGTTTTCCGAGTATACTGCTATTTGTCGTTTTGTTTGCTTCTCCTCTGACAAACAGTTGGCCAAAATAACAAGAACATCAAATCCGTATTTATCTAAGAATGCTTTCAGATCACCAATGAGACTCCTGTGTAACACGCAGTCCTGAAATAGGGTAAGAAATGAAAAGAAACATCAGTGTCTTTTCCTTGCTCTTTCCATCCAAATCTGCGGTGAAAATAGCCAGAAATATTAATAAGCATCAGTATCTGTAACTGGCAACAGAATTCCAATTTGTTGAAACAGCTATGTGCTTAAAAAGAGTCAAGAACTGGACTCACTGCACAGTAATGGACTTTTATTTCTGAAAAATGTTAAAATACTAAATGTGGGCTTTGCCTTCTTGAAACTGCTACTGAAATGGGATTCTTACTTGTTCCTGCTGAATGCTTTTGTAAGGTTGCTTAGAAGTATTGGGCTACTGCTATTTCTTGAATAAACCCCCTTTTTTGTTAGAAAAATAAAAATATTTTATGGAATTTTTCGTGTCAATATTTCATTTAAAATAATAGATGTTAAAATAATAGGATTGAGGTGCAAAATCAGGCACTGAAAAGGAAATTGTTATGTGCTAACTTAATTTTAATGTATCCATTATGATGTTACATGACTGTGTACAATTTTACCATAGATTATTCCTTCAGATTCCTTTATTCCTGCTCTTTGAATTCTGTGCAACTCTTCAAAACTATAAACCCCCAAAATAAGGGCAGAGTAAGGTAATGTAGTTTTAAAATCTGTTTGTGTCAAAAAAAAAGAAAAGAAGCTTATTTTCACGCACTATATACTCATTTATACTCGTTGAAGTATCTAGAATTTGCAACATAAACCATACATCCCTCTTTCTCACCTGGGAATACAGTGCATGAAGTATTAAAGTCTCTTTTCAGTCATCAGCTCTGATCACTGCTAGTGAACAGTGCCTTACAAATTTCATTTTCTCCTTTATGTCTCTGCTATTTTTATTTGAGACAATTTTTTGTCATCTTCTAGCTAATAGTTCTGATGCTGCCAAGCTACACTGGCCCTGAATAAACAGCAGTTCATCATGAACACAACACAACTGTATATGCAGATTGGCATTTTATTCCCCTGCATCTGTCTCCTACCTGATAAATTACTGTTTTGGTTACATATATACAAATACTATTTATTAATCTACTCAGATGTGTCCACAAAATGCATCTCCCTCCCTGTAAGTTAAACTTAAAACAAAAAAAATCTGTTTGTCAAATGCTTTGGAAGTAGATTCTTTTCCAAGATTAGAGATGAATTTCCACTTTGATGTTCACATAGCACCTACAAATAAATTTTATGTGAAATTCACACAGATTAATGCACAAATGAAAGTCGGCTGTCACTTTACTGGTGGACATTCAGATACAAAATCTGAATAAGTGTTTATGGTGAGGAGTTATGGAGAACAAGATTTGACTATCCAAACCAGTGACATTTTTCTGAAGACTCAAGTATTGGGTATATTAGAAAAAGTATCAAGAACGTATATAAGCCTGGAAAAGTTACTTCAGCTATCCCATTTCTAACTGCAGGTGGAATAATTAAAATCAATTTGACTATAAAATTTGAACCAGAGCAGATTCAACACCATCTAAAAATCCTTGATAACTCCTTATCTCAGATAGCCACTCACAGCCAATTCAAGAAGATTGGGAGGCCACAGGAAGGACACGGACAGATCAGGGATCTAGCCTGCAAGGTGGTTTATGGCTGTGCAAAAGGTAAAAAAAAAAAAGATCATTCTAAAAATGTCCATCCGTCAAGACTTATGATGCTTTATCTTCTATGTTGCTTGTATCAACTGCAAATGTAGGGAATTATAAATTTTCTGTTAAAATCAGGCGACTGAGCTGGAAGCCTCATGAAAGTGACATTGACTGAGATATCTTTTGCCATCATCTCAGCCCGCATTTGGCACTCACAAAGTGGTAGGCTGGGGAGCGCCAAAAAATCCCACTTTCTGCAGTATTTTGAGAGAGGAACCTCTTAACCTGCCTACATGGCAAGGGAAAACCCATCTGTCACAACCACAGCAGATTGTGGAAGCAGGGTGAGATGAGGTACACTTCCAGAGTTTAAGGCCACGGGCCAGTAGGGCATCATAAAGCACAACTATGAATAGCATAGAACAAGACCCAGCGTCCACATGCGAGCAGCTATTTGTTGGTGGGAATGGTTACCACAGCAAGGGTACGGCACCAAATGCCTTACAATGGAAGGTCAGTTCTACCAGTTGGAGCAGTAGCTAAAGACACAAATGGCCACGGTAAAGCCCCTGAAGGTGCTAAAATCTGAATTTGCCTTCTGCCCTGCCTTTTGCTAACTTGTGTGATGCCATGCAGAGCAACACTGAGGAACTGATACGGCAGCAGGTGATCCAGCAGGTGATCCACTGCTGCTGTAGAGGAGGAAGGTGCCAAGTATGTTGCTCCCTAGTGGAGCAATTGGACTAGAGAGCTTCACATTGGGCCACATTAATATAAACAATAATGGATCTGTACTACTTATGTAATTACCTGACCCAGCTGCTTGAGGTTCTCTCCATTTCTTCCATGCTGTCAAGCTTACTATTATTCACAACACGTATTTTCCCTTCTTGAGGTTCTCACCATGCTGACTGAGAGAAGCCCAAAGATTAACTTTGAGCAGGCTACCCGTCCCTCTCTATTGGGTACAAGCTGCAGAAGGAGATCAGTTATCTTCTACGTGTTTTTTTTTTGCCTCTGTGCTTCACACCCAGCGTGGCCTTTGGGCTGTGTTGTGCTACACACATCCTTTGGGCGCAGAATAGATTTGTCCAGCTGACTGTACTGGAGAAGCCTGCAGGCAGCATCCACTTGGTACTAGCAATTACATCACCTGTGCATCCTTGCCTTTATCTAACAGTGCAGCTAAAACTTCTCCTGTGAACATCCTTTCTGTTTGACAGTACAAATGAGGAATGGACTTCTTTCCTTGTAAGAAAAACCTATAATAGCTAAAATGACCAAAAGGTGGAAATCTCTTCTAGGAACAGGGTGTCTCCAGCATGCTGTGCTGGAGACTTATTCAATGCTACACCCCTCAGGGCTCCCACCACCTAAAGGGATGTAAAATTATCTACAGTGTTTTCTCCTTACAATGTTAGCTGCAATAAACAGCATTTTAAAAGATACCTCACACGGTTTGCATGCTTTTCTTACTGGGATCATAATGGACTAAGGCTGCCCAGCACAAAACACCCTCAACTGATCAGAGACTGCTCAGAGTAGCATGGGAATTGGTTTAGGTGTGCCAGCACCATATCCTACATTGAAAGAAAACATCTTTAAAGAAAATACGTAAATTATTTGAGGATTTAAAACAGGGCAAAAAATGTTTTACAGTGACATCCAACTGACAGTACCACAGAGGAAATCGTTCAGGCATGTCAGAACAGAGTCCAGGTCAAGCAAAATGATGCTGATCACATCCCATTTATTAGTTTACCAGTAGCCTCTCAATGAGAAAAGTTTCTGACAAAAAAATCATTATTCAGCAATGGTATAAAACCCAAGGCCCTATCAATTCTCTGGCATGAGGAATATGATACAAGCTTCTCACATTGCTATTACTAAGTAACAATTAATATTCAAATAATACCCCATAATGTAAGTTGCTCAATTTTCCCATAAACAGTCATTTTAATAATCAACAACTTAAAAGCTTCTTATAAGTTTCTTATAAGCTGTTATTTCACTAAGTGCACCCAGAAATTAAACCCCTGGGTGAAACCCCTTTCATTTCAAGGCAAACAGACCTTGCTAAAAGAATAGATCAAAGGGTAAATTTGCTGGAAAATGCTATTGACTAAGCTATTAAATAAAAACAGGATCAGATTATACATCTTACGGCATTATGACGACCTCATCGATTTCTTTGGTTGACCGGACCATTAATCAAGACATTTAATTAACTATTAATTTTAAAATAAGCAAAGGTAATTTTACTAATGTTAATAAATATAATTAAAGTAATATTTTTTTCTAAAACTTTAATTCTATTCCTCCCCACAAACATCCATAAAGTTTACTCTTTTAAACTAGTACTAAAAACGCAGTTCAGTTACTCCCTTCACATGCAATCAAACATTCCAATACAGACAATTGCAAACAAGACACTCTTACAAATTGCCAAAGACTATATATTGAAAGACGTGGTAGACATATGGACTCTTTCACAAATTTGCTAACCTAAGTAAACAACCAGAATGTCACATATATTGTAAATGCTAACAGAAAATAAAACATTCCCTTCAGAAATGAAAAAAACGCTAATCATTTCAACAGTTAAGCTGCAACATCCCAAATTAATTATAAGTACTGTAAAACATGCTGTTGATGAATTAGTATAGTAGGAAATACACTGACATACCACCAAATCACGAGAAAGGTCAGTCAGCTATTCATTCTGAGACTACTTTTCTTTATTTTATTACCATGTGCTGGCTTGAGTATTAATTAATATTTGCATAGTGTACAGTAGGTAAACAGCATATGTAATCATTATTAGTTGTCATAATGCCTTCTAAGTAACCTATAACAAAATGGGCTGTAAGTATACTTGAAATGCAATACACTTGAAATAAATAGAATCTAGTAGTAAATATATTTTGCAAATGCTGTTAACTACGCAAACGCATAGTTAACTGCAATATGGATACTGGAAAATTTAGTGTCACCATTTGTTATAAAACTGTGCATTTGTTTTGACTAATGCATATAAATAGAGTATGCACTGCTACAACATTACAATATGGTGAACGTTCTGAAAGGACAAATATTTTTTTATCATCTGGGTAAACAGAATGAGAAGGTTTAAAAAATCCACAGACTTTTGAAGCATTTTTGAATGCGATGTGTTATGTATTTCTGTTGAGAAATACCATTTTACGTAGGCTGTATACTGTGAAACTTCTTTCTCTGAAACTCAATTTTCTTACAGGAATCTCTTTTTTCAGTTGTATAGTTAACATGACTACAGGAATGGGTGATCCTCTAAAAGAAGCAAAATCTCCAAGAAATACCCAAAGAGAATTTGTAACTTCTCCATTTCTAGCAATACTTTCC